TCAACTGGTACAAATTACGAAAATTACATGTTAATAGTTTAGAGAAAAGAGTAGACGACGGATATTTAGATTTTGATATTCTTGGAGAATAAATTTTGCAGGCATATTAGACATTTAACTTGTACGCAAAGGTTATATTAACAAACATTAAATTCCATATGATACCAACACCTGTTCTCCACGCTTTGCGAAATAATAACCCAAGAGAACAACAGGAAATTCGATTCTGAAATAAAACCCCGGTTATCTAACACTGAATAACAAGGGAGCAGTCATTTATCAGAATTTATCGAGTGATAGATATAAGCTAGTAACTACGTGAGTGATTGTCAGGGTCGATTATTTTTGGTTTGGGGTGTGCGATAGACTAACCTCCACGTGGTGCACCCTGGGCAACGTATACTCATACGGCGAAAAAGTCTATTAACCGGCAATTGACTTCTGACTTCAAACTGCCATGATCCCACTGTATGTCATATTCGACTACTTCCACAGTACTCACCTCACCTCTTTTCTACCTTTCTACCTTCGTTTTTGAAACACTCTTCTGTTCCCTCCCCACCCCCTCTCTACTTTCTTTCACTTTGATGTTCCTTTCCCTCTCTGAAGCCCGAAGTCAACTAAAGGGCTAATGCTAACCACCAAAACGCCTGCCATTTGATATAAATAAATAGAATTATTTTTGGTTTAAATGAACGAATTTGAAAAATCCAATCATTTTTTCCTCTATTACATTGGTTTGGGTTGAGGCAGAAAAGCAATCTTGTAATAAATAACGATAAGTTTCTGAAACTCGAGTATTTGTAATTGCGTGTGGATATCAACCGAGTATTTGACTCGTAAGGTTTATCAAACCACTACGTAGGGACAAAATACCATTATATTGACTTGAAACTAATTCAGAAGAAATAAGGGCATTTTATGACAAACTTGCTTTATTTAACCTGATTCAACCAAACTAGCTTCCATAATAATTACAATTTGTCAACTTTCAGTGAATTTTCTTATAAATATTCAATGGGCAATGTGCAATTAATTTTAAAATACTATTCTTTTATAATAATCCTTAATTATTTACACAGGATTGAAAAGATGTTGTCGGCTTCAGCGTATAATTATTTACCATCAACTTGATTCAAAATAAAAAATTAAAATAAGTAGTTTCTGTCAAATCAATTAAATAAATCACTTTATGAAGTTTTATTTTTTATGTTAGTAGTTGGTGCTAAAAGGTTATTTAGCATGTATACGGTCAATGCTTTCTGCTAACAGCTATAGTAGCGCGTAAAGTGTAATTTCCTCAAGCCCATATAGTCATACACGGGTCGCGCCTACTTGTGTAATTTTCAATAGTTGTGCACAAAATAGGATGATTCAATTATTTTCTCAGAAATTTAGCCTTCCGCTTCACCGTTCCATTTATACTTCCACATGTCTCTCAAAAAACACTAGATCAGGTGTAGTTCGTAGGACAAGAAATATGTCTGAAGCTTTAACGTACGAACGGTCTAAAAAGCCCCATCAGATCGCCGTTCTTAAATCTTGGAATTCTTGGAATACAAGTAATATACATGGGGAAGATCATTACACTGGCGTTATAACGTATCAAGATTCTCTTATACGACTTTTTATCAACGGAACATTTCCCACTCATGTTCTTAGTGAGGTAAGGTTAACATATTTATGCTTATACTTTTTTCTGTGTTTTAGGTTATTATTGAACGAAAGTTCAATGAAGTGCTAATCTGCTTCAACTTATCCAACCGAATTTCTTCTAGTGAGCTGTATTTCCTTACTGGATATGCCGAACAAATGCTCTCCTATCTTTTACGATGCCCTGTAAAGATCGAGCCTAGAATGATTCTTAATCCCAAGGATGTTATATTCCGCTATATTTAGACGGCGTTGTATATCTACTGTAGTTACGCTTTCATCAGCCAATATATGATTTGTACAGATTCCCAATTAATAATTTTCATCTTTATTTCCTTCGCTTTAGCCAGCTTTAAAGTATGTTGAAAAATTTAAAATGAATATTTACTTCGGGTGAAATTTATTATTCTCACAGGAAAACGTGTTATTTTTAGTCCTTTGTTCGATTTAATAATACCATTTTTCAGTCAGTTGTTGCTTAGATATTGGAGTTTATGATATTTGGTAGGCCATAGTTTCAGTGGGCTTGATTACAGGTCATGTATTCGATATTTTTATTGTGAAAGCGTTCACACATTGCATTGGATAATTCGGAAAAGTGGTTTTTCCATTGAAAGCTTCGATCAAGAGGCGTCATGTTTATAATTAACCTAGAAAAGGTGTTTAGAAGTCCTTCGAGAAAACTTTGTGAAGTTTTAGCCAACGTTTAGTTAAAAGGAATGTCTGTCCTTAGTTGATAAAAAACGATTGAGAGGTAGATAAATAATTCAGTGACAGTTGGGCAGTTTGGGACAGAGTTTACTTCTTTAAGACCTTGGACACAGATCAAACTAATATGAATATACTTGCAGTTCAAGCCAAATTATTATTTCATACATGAGGAGCAATGCCAATGGAAATCAAGTATTTTTTTGGAGAGAGCACTGCATTGATAATTCAGCTGAAGTGTGCGTAGTAGGCAGCTAGCCTAGTTGTTATGAATAGACGATTCGGATGATAATAAGAGGGTTAGCTCTTAAATGAAATATTTCAATCCATCAAAAGCAAGGGTTAGTTGTCACAGTTATTATATTTAGCATTCCCCATCACATTAGTTATTTATTCCATTCAACCAAGGTAGAATGCTTCGATTATTGACAAAAAATGACTTTTACTAAACTGTTATGATAGCTCTTGGGATTGACAAGATATTATGCCATGTATAGTGTAATAGTTAGTCGATTCGAGCGTTCCATATATTGAAAAAGAGATAATTTGTGACTCTGATGGTAGAAAGTAAAAAATAGAAGACAATAGTTTGCGATTTGAAGGCATATAGTTTTAGGCATGGTCTAAATGACCCGTTAACTAAATGCAGACATCCAGTGGCATATTACAATGGACATTCGGATGGCCGAGATAACCGCGTATTTATATTATTTAAATTGTGCCACTCTAATGATGTTATCAATGAATTGAATAGGCAGGACTACAATTTATAATTAGCATGAATTATAATTTCATTTTTAACATAACTATATTGGAAATATATGAATTATAGAGATAATCTAAGAATAAATGTTATGCGCATGAATTTATGTTCTAAAGTTTGTGTTATATTTTGATTTGTTAATGATTATTGTCAGTTGTTTTTCTGCATTACTGCTACCTTTAACCTCTCGAATAATAGGGGTTACAAACAGGAGAGTACGATTAATGGCAGATTTACCAGAAAAAGACCTCAAAGGTACCTAACATATTTTAATCTTCAAAAACTGTCGTAGACGCTCGAGAATTTTTTTCTCTCTTTGCAACCGGGGAGGATGAAATGATTGAGGCTCGATACATAGGTGACTTAGTTCGTGCCCTTGGATTAGTCCCTACCGAAGCTCAGATTGCAAAATTTGGTTTTAAAGATAAGCCGTGTAAGTCACTAGCTATGTTTTATTTCTTTCTTTTTGTTTCAGAAATGAGATTTTGTTTTTAACGGGCTATTTTTTTAATTTTTATTACTAATTGTATTTTGTTCGAAACTTCTCATTGTAGTCTTCAATTTACTTTTAAAATTTCAATGAATTTACTGAACCTTACTTGTAGCAGAAAAAATCAGCTTTGAAACATTTTTGCCGATTTACCAAGGATTGCTTAAAGAGAAAAAGCCAAATGACCCGGAAGAGTATATTGAGGGCTTCAAGGTTTTTGACAAAGAATCCAACGGTCTTATCAGTGCTGCTGAGCTTCGGCATTTGCTCACACAACTGGGCGAAAGGCTTACAGAAAAGGAGGTTGATGTTCTGCTATTTGGCATGGAAGATGGCCAAGGACAGGTTCCTTATGAAGGTTCGTTATTTTTTGTGAAAATATGCCCTTCAATTATTTTATTTATTGTTATCTTTTCATTTTATTTTAGCATTCGTTCGAAGAATTATGAGCTAAATCAGTTTTGATATACAAGAAGCTTCCATTTACTGTTAATCTATTTCAAATTTAATTTAATATCAATTTTAATTTGATTTTTCTTTTGCCTTTTTTACGAGTAGTCTACTTTATAATTTTTGTGTTTAGATTAATTACGAAACACTACGCACTTCTCTACTTAGAGATCAAATTGCTGTATTTAGCTGTCGCTACTTAGAAATTCTGTTTTTTTGAGGGCTTGGCTCAGTTTAGTTTGGCTAGCTAAATTTTGTCTGTGATGTTTTGCGTTCCTTCTTAACCCTACCCAGACTTAGACGACTCTCCTAAATATTAAATTAATAAAATATAGGGGAAATTTTACCGCAAAAAATGTCACTAAGCTTTCTTGCCTTCATTCAATTTTCATTTCGATTGACCAGAAGATTATTTCCCATGGTATCATAAAACGTGGTCACAATATTTTATTTGAATGGTGGAAGGATATCCCAGAGTCCTGGAAATTTCACTATTGAACAAAACCAATCGGACAGCTTGTCACCACTGGACGCACATTAGTGGGTATCATCCTCATAAACCTTGGCTATCCAGATGTGCGCCACCGGCAAAATGGAAGTTTATTTAAGAGATCTACTATCAGCCACATTGCTTGCTTTCAAGTATCTAAAAATTAATACCTTTAATGAGCTTCTATATGAGTTGAAAGTCTTGTAAGTTAAGCATTCTCGTCTTAACCCAAATCAAAAGTATAAACATTTATTTGATTATCAAAAAAAAACAGTAACAAAAAATGGAGAGAAAAACTGTAAATTTCCTAAGACAACTTGGTATCAGTATGTCTGCTCGTCCATGGTGAGGTGAGCATCCAGCCGCCAACATGCGAGAGGAGTACACTAGCAAGTCCAATAGACATTGCAATTACGTAGTGGCTGATACTTTCTCCAATATCCAACCACGAACCTTCATCCCTGAGCATAGCAAAGAAGTGCACGGCGAGGAAATTGGCGATTATCATTAGCACGGTAATCTCCTGACGACTGGAGGTGGCTGAGGTGTTCGATTTTACATATCCCAGTAGGGCGTAAGATGTTCCGACCACAACAATTGGACAAATAATCTAGGATTTTAGAGATTATTTAAAGTCTGCATAGTGCTACCTTGAAAATAAGCAAAGCACCCATTACAGGGGGACTAAGAACAGTGATGAAGCAGTAAACTGAAACCGGATCAAATCTGTAGAAGAAGCATAGATTAAATGTGAGAAAAAGTAAATCAATTTACGTGTTAATGCTTGCAATATTTCCCGTGCCGAAGAAAGCGTATATAACGAAGAAGACCTGCGAAAGAAATGACAAGAATCGCTAAATGACATCAGGGCGAAAAATGATTATTAATAAAAAAAACTCGACTCTTCATTATTTCCCCCATTTGTTAACAATTGAGATGCTGTTATGCGGTACTAAAAAACTATTCACTGGCCTGACGTGCATTGAAATCGTGAGATGGTAAATTAGTGCATTACTATGCTGTGGGTATTTAGGACCTCACGGGTTTAAAAAGAGTGAAGCTTAATCAACCTCTACTGTTTGGGGGGAAAATTCAATGCAGTCATTTACCTATAGATTCGTACCTAAATCATAGCCGGTTATGCAGAACGAATAACCCTCTCTAAAGATCTTTAGACCCTCAAGAATATTGTCAGCACGCTATGAACGATTTCAAAAGTTAATGGCTTAAGTGGAAAATAGGGATAGATGATAACAGAGGTGCGTGATTAGACCAACACGAATTCCACCAAGGCCACAGGTGCTGAAATGGAGCTCCGAGTACCTTGAAAATCATGTAGATGTCGAAGTTCAAACTGCTTCGAACTGTGTTTCCATGGCTCTTGTTTGCATAAATATAGTTCAAGAATGTGATAAATTGAGTTTACAAAAGGAAATTATTTATCAATCACTCTGTACACCAGTAATGTAAAAGATGAAATAGTATATACAATTCATAAAGAGCCTACATAGAAGAAGGGCCGACGTAAACTGAATGAGGTCATTTGCGAGTCATTTCCCTGTTTTGAGCTCCCATTAATAGATTCCGGTCTCGATTTGAGAGAGAAGACCTGAAGATGACAAATTAGGGGAATTCCGAGTAAATTACCTCTTGCAGTTGCAGCCCCGATTCCAACCAAATCCACATGAATACGGTAGTGGCTAGAGCCAGGAAGAAAAAGCCCTCGTAACTGATGGAAGAAAGGGGGGTAAGGAAAACAACTGCTGATTGAATACACGTCCTAAAATTTTAGATTTGTTTGCTTTATGCGTGCTGCCTCATTCCTAAATAGGTAATCAACAGATTGCAGGCGTGTTCTTTTTAGCAAAATGGCTGAACTCTTGAATTCTGCATCGAATTAATTATGACTAATAAACAAACGAGAGAGAGAGAGATGACTAATTGGAAAGGATACAATGTGTTTAAGAGATTGAAGGGTATAAAAAATGCCAGTGAAATGCCAATGAGTCTTTCGCAAACAGTGGATGTCTTGCCAAACAAAGCGATCATTGGTGAAGTAACTAAAATGAAAATAAACAAGTTAAACAACGACTAAGTGAGATTCTAAAGCCGCATTAAGAATTTTGCGCAATAGTTTGGTGTTAGGCGAGTGAAAGATAAAACAAGCATAGGAGAGTATGAATCGTACCCAAGAGTATCCAACTAATAACGTGCAAGAGAATTGGGATCGGAATGGACCAGTCGACGAGATTACGAACGAGAAAGACCAGGAGTCCACTGATTGCAGATCCAGATACCTGGGGGTGCATTATACAATTTTAGAGGCCAAGTTAACCAACTGAAGACTGCAATATATAGTAGCAGAACTCACAAGAAGACCACTTGGACTAGTCAACCAGGCAGCTGATAAGTCAGATTTCAGAAAGACTTTGTGGACTGCAAGAACTGCCGACAATATGCAAATGCTTGAGCAGAGTCTTTAAGCGAAAAGTTGCGAGAATGCACATTTAACCCACAGAGGGAGAGAGAGTTTTAAAAGAAATAGAAAATAGATGAGGAACTTGCACGAGAGTGGGAGAAAAATAGGAGCCCACAACAGGAAGTGATGGGAAGACGGCAAGTACACAGCACGCAACAAGCCACAATCGTTGCAAAGTTGCCCTCTACAAAAATATTCAAAGTGAAAATAAGCAATGCAAAAAAACTACTCAAAAATTGTCTTCTATAGGCGCTCAAATTCTATGGAGATCTGAAATCGTTCTAAAGGCTCAGTTGGCTGATGAGTCTATTAGGCTCATAACAAAAAGGAAAGAAAATGGAAGGCTTAACAAAATATCTGGACTGATTCCACTGTGAATAAGAGGGTTCACGTATGGAACAGTTAAGATTGCATGACGGTGTAAAAATTCTGTGTTCTAGCTATTAACAAACACAGAGCTACTTCGAGTAAATAGCACCGGCAATTGTGTTGTAAAAGGCAACACAATTGCATAACCTTGAGCTCCAAAGTGGGTTAGAAAAGTAAACTTACGTTTTGGAGCGTAATGAAGGTGGGATCCAAGTAGGGCCAAAGTCCAAGGAGTACTCCACCGAATGAAAGCAGAATTCGATGAATGAAACCCCAAAGCTAAAAGTGAAAAGAAAAAGTTAAATGTAACTACAATGGAATTATCAGAAAATATATATAGAATGCAAAGGTGCTAATATCAGATTTAACAGGGGGTTTAATTAAAATGCTAACAGAACAACACCACAAAAACAAACCTACAGCAAATTCCATTAGTAAGAACAACAGAAGTACAATCTTAGTAAACATTCCTCGGCTAGGGGAGGCTGGAGAAAACAGTGCATTTTGCAGAAGATGCGATAAGTCCTCACGATATCTCGGTGTGAGCAGTAAGATTAGAGCGAGAGTCAAGGGAAGTAACTGATAGAATGACCGCAGTGGGGACTGATGAAACGCTGTAAAGCAATTTCAGGGTAAATAGGCAGTCGTCTCCATAGATCGTGAAAATGCGAATACCGTGAATTTACCCCTGCTTAGACCACCAAGAAAGATGAAAACAGTGCAAGTGAAGAGCACCAATATCCAGGCAGGCGGTCGGTGTTGGTTGATAGACTTAGTGGGAGTAGATTGCACGTCCGATCGACCAAATGTGTCGAGGTAGAGGAGCAGTGACCAAAATGCGTACGAGATTCCGATGCACATGCTGAAGTAAAAGTACAGCGAATGGAACAGAACAACGCATAAAAAACATCACCAATTTTTTTTTAAAAGTTCCCTATTCCTGCGTTGTCCTTTGAGATTTGGGCATGCATGAGAAAAAGGAAGTAAGTAACCTTTCTCTTACTCAAGGAACTTCGATCATATTGACTAAGAGCATTAAATAACGAAAGTTCAATATACCTTCCAAATTAAAGGCAATATATTTAGGTCCGTGGTGTGCGAAAGACTTATCTCCATGTAGTGCACCCTAGGCAGCGTATACTTATTTGACAAAAAAGTCCATGAACCGGCAGTTGACTTCTGACTTCTAAATACCATGACCTCCCTCTATGTCATATTCGACCTCATCTACAGAACTCAACTTTCCTTTTCTCTGCCTTGGTGTCTGTCTGCCTCTTACTTCTGTGACCCACTCTTCTGTCCCCTCTCTTGAATTTCTCCCCCCCCCCTCTAATGATAACTATCAAAAACGTCTACCATTTGAAATAAATAGATATCTAGGTGTAAACAGATTCCTGTAGAACAAAATACGCAAATTCGGAAGATTTGAAGCAAAATTAAAGCCAATTTCTCTTTGAAGAAAAGTTGCACTACAACCATTGAAAAGGAAGGATTAACCACGGGGTATTTGTCAATGCATAGGTTCTAATTTTTACAAGAAAACTATGGATTCAGGGGGAGAGGGAGAGAGACAAAACGGCGGTGAGCAGAGTATATTGGAAGCAGAAAGAAAACCCTCTCGGGGAAGGGGAATTGGTGAAGGTAATGGAAGCGACTTGGGCAGGCACAGCGCTTCATGAACCACGAATATGAAGCGGATGTGAGTACAATAGAATGCGTAAGTATAGGATTGCTAACAGAGAGAGAGAGCAAAAGTGGGCTTTTGAGTAACGACACACGTCAGTGTGGTTGGCCGTTGGGAGTGCAATTCATCAGAGCGCTAGCCAAACACACGTCAGGATAGTTAATAAAGACATAACTCCATAAAGAAAATTGAACCACTACAATTATATGAACAACGGGACATGACCTAACGGAAACTGACAGCCTTCAAAGCCATGTGGAAAACTGTTTCCGGGACCACAATGATTATTAACCATTTTCACGGTCTTCATAAATTAAAATACTTAAAAAAACTCATTGATAAAAAACTTCCCACTAAATACAAAATCCGAATTTCATATGATATTTAATAATTGTCTCAACACTATCGATTTTTTTTCCAGCAAGCTGGACACCCCTTTCATATGGATTGAAAGCATCTGGGAAACTTGGTAATTTCAACGAAGACAAGTTAAGATGCACACGAGTATCAATTAAGTCACCAGAAAAAAACCCACACGGTGGTTGGGTGCAGTGGATAGGTGGCGCGAGAGAGAAAGAAAGAGTTACTGCGCAAAATGCAAATCACACACAGCCACACAATAACGCGACTTGCAAACGAACCAACTCTCCTCGCAGGTAAACTCAGATATATGCGTAAGCGGGCTCAGTGTGCACTGACGAGTGCCAATGGTCACACGCTGAATTTAATCATGATGCAGGGGGGGGGGGAATTGAAGATATCACATGTAAAGAGAAAAAAAACATGGAAAAACACGACAGTATACTTTATCGATCAAGCAAGTCTGATTGAAGAGATTTAAATAATGGTCATTTGGATCTTGATCGATGAAGAAATACACTGCGATTGCTCAGAAGCTTATTATAATTAGATTAGGGATCACGAGGGCAGACAGAAAGTCATTAAGGCTACTGAAAAAAAAGGTACGAGAAGTGTGAAAACCTGAACTTTACACGTTTCACTAATTTAAAATAATGCATATATGGTGCCAGTGAGAAAGAAATATAAGCATTTCTATAATTATGAAATAGGATTGATTGATTGACATTATTGCTCATTTACTTTATTGATTGAGAGCCTTTATCTATTAAATTAAATTTATTTTACCGAAACCTATGACTCAAGTACGGTCTATACTTAAGTTCTCAAGTAGACGCCAGGGTACGTAACTAACCGCAATTGATTGTTTCATGACAATGGCATGAGAAGTAGAACCGCTTAAATGGTAGTACACGCGAGAGGGTCAACTTAATATCAATACTGTTAACTAAAGATGCTAATGTATGAAGAAAAAACGAATAGAACTAATCTCGATACCATTTGCAGATGGATTGGAGACCATAGACGATAAATAATTTGTGTAGATGCATACATCAGTAAACAAAAAGCAAGTCAGACTACTGAAAGGGGTGTATAAGTAGTGTGACATTTAACGGTTTATATGCATCGAAAAACTCTATTAAAGCATATTTGTGATAAGGGAAAGAATTTCAAAGCTTAATATGGTTTTGGAAACAGCGAAATTTCTCACTGATCCTGTGATAGGGAACGAAAGTGGTACCTCAAATTTAGTAAATCTATATTGGTTTAATAAGGGGTGTGGGACAGACTTACCTCCTCGCGGTGCACCCTGGGCAACGTATAATCATAAGGCAAAAAAGTCTATTTAACGGCAGTTGACCTCTCACTTCAAACATCCATCACCCCCACTGTATGTCATATTCGACCCCTACCACAGTACTCATCTTACCCTTTCTGAGCCTTTGTGTCTGTCTGTCTATGAATCTATGAATCACTCTTCTATTCCCCCTCCCGAATTCTTCTCACTTTGATGTTCCTCCTCCCCTTTGTGAAGCTTGAAGTCAACTAAAGGGCTAATGATAACTATCAAAACGCCTGCCATTTGTTATAAATAAATAAATAAACATTGGTTTAATAAACACTTATTATTTCAACCAAGTCAATAAAAAGTGATTTGAACTCCACTTTTAATGAACTTATAATTTATGCATTAACCAATACCAAGGCAATTTTGGGAAGATATAAGAGAACAAGAAAAATGTATTAGGAATTAGTCAACTTTTAGCATTTTGCAATTAAGTAGAAAGAAGGTTCCGAGTAAGCATACATTTTACTACTAATAGAAACGATAGTTAATAGTTTAGGGTGAGTGGGTCAACGTGAATTGTTAAATTCCTTTTTTTATTGGCAAACTCACCCTTTTTGCAG